GGGCCCACTATTGTTTCCTCACCCATGGGAGGCATTACCAATCTGCCAGCAGGCATCTATTAGCACAGGTGGGCCATCAGGGCGCACCTAGGTGTTCCTCCAGAGACTCAGCCACCTCTGGGTCAAATTATATTTAAAAACTGAACTGGATAGAAAAGGAAAAAAATGGGGGAGAGAGTTCTCAAGCAGGGATTTCCTAGCTCGCCAACCCAATGGTGCAGCAGAGCACTCAGTAAGTAAACAGAAAACATGGGCAGCTGAGAAATCAATTTAGCTGAACAAACAATGTTGCCTGTAATGAACTCCTAATTATCCTTTTATGCCGTGTCAGTCTGAGTGATTACAGAGCTGGGCCGTTTAATTTGACGTCTGAGCCTGGCTTTGCTCCATTAGCCGCATATAAAGCTACGACATGTTGCAGGGTGGGAAGGAGGGCCTGTATTTATCTAGAACTAAGTGAGCACCTGTAGCGATAACAAGGATGGAGAACATCTGATCAGATTTGAAAATTTCCTAATGATGCTTGAGGAATCATCTGGGACACAAGAGAGGGTAAGGATCACTCAGGGGAAATCCATGAGGATTCCAAGGACTCGCCTGAGTGCTGCCCTGTGGAAAGAGTACCAGAATTGGAATTTTTAGACATTTACCAGCTATGTGACCCTGGGCTTCTTTCAGCCTCAGTTTCCTCATCTGTAAAATGGGCATGATAATAGCACCTACCTCCAACCCAGGGTTGTTGTGAGAATTAAATAATAATTACTAACCACGTGCCAGGCACTGTGCTAAACACTTTACAATTCTTATCTCATTTGATCCTCACAACAACCCTGAGAGGTAGATATTGTTACAATCCCCATTTTACAGATGAGGAAACTGAAGTAAACAGGGTTGAGTGACTTGCCCAGTGTCACACAGCTATAAGTGTCTGAGCCCAGACTGACACTTAGGTCTTCCTGACTCCAGTCCACCTAAATGTATAGAAAACATTTTGTGAACCTTAAAGGACAAAATCAGAGGTTTTTAACCTTTGGGCCTATGGACCCTGGTGAATAGATTTCAGGAATTCAGATGAGGGAGAGGGGGAATTACATCTTGATTTGCAATAACCTCTAACTGAAATTTAAAATTTTTTCAATTATGAATGTCGACAACCAACAGTTTTCTCAGAAGGGCTCCATGTCATAAGCAAGGGTAGGTACAGAGGAGGAAAATAAGTCATAGATAGGCCATGTGACTTGCCCATGGCCTATACTGATGTTTCCTCATCTGTAAAATGAGAGGGTTGTACTAGATGGCCTCTGAAATCCATTTTGGCTCTATTTCTCTGAGTCTATGATAAGTTTCCAATCAACCAATCAAACTGCCATTGAGCCTTTATTAAGCACCTACTATGTGCTGGGCACTGGTAAGCACCAGGGAACGCAAATGCAAAAATGAACCAATCCCCATCACATATGCAGAATAAACACAAGGGATTTTTGGTGGGGCAACAATAAACACAGCTGGGGACAATCAGGCAAGACCTCATGGGGAAGGCGATCCTTGAACTGAGCTTTGAAGGAAGCCATGGATTCTAGGAAATTCTAGAAACTAGGATTTGCTCTATATCTTATGAATGCCCATAGTCACACAGCTAGTTAAAAATCAGAGCTCTTTCCCCTATTCCAGGATACCTCTTGAGTTGGGCAAGAAAAGAACCTTCTGGGGTTTGGTAGTTTGCCCTGTGTCTCTAGAGCCAAGCTAAGCCAGGTCGCTTTAGCTGCTGGAATCAGCAGAGCACCATGGTTGACTGGTCACATCTGCCTCCAGTCACAGGCACCACCGGCTGCGCAACTGGGGAAATAAATGGGTGGGGAATCTGCCACAGCTCATTAGAGAGAAATTGCCTCTTTCAAATGCACCTTGTGCTAGAACAAGAATCAGAGAATCAGAGCATTTTAGAGCCAGAACAAAGAAGGGAGAGGACAGTTCCCTTCATCCCCTCAAGTCCCTGAATGATAGCATTCAGTTGGACAGACACATCCCTGAAGACAACTCCAGTGAATCCTGTTGTCTCTAAGGAGAAGCACAAAGCCCACTGCTAGCATTTAAAGATCTTCACAACCTGGCAAACCTAGCTTTCCAGCTTTATTAAATATTATATAATAATTATACATTACTGCCTCAGTTTCCTCAAAAGGAGATAATATAGCATCTACTTCACAGGGTTGTTGTGTGGGTCAAATGAGTTTCTATTTGAAAAGTACTTATTACAGTGCCTGATACATAGGAGGCACTCAATGAATCCCCCTTATTGTACTATGACCTTTTTGCTGTTCCTCACACAGGCCATCACCATGTCTCTATCTCCAGACACAGACTATCCCCTATGACCTAAATGCATTCCCTCCTCACTTCCCTCACTTAGAATCCCTCGCTTCTCTCAAAGCTCAGATCATGTGCCACCCTACATGACGCATTTCCCAATTTCCCCAGCTGTTAGTGCCTTCCCCTGAAAAATAACTTTATATTTACTTTGCATGTATTTTGCATTTTCACATCTGTGTGCACGCTGGTTTTTCCTCTTTAGAATGTAAGCTCATTGAGGGCAGGTACTATTTCATTGCTCTCTTTGCATCCATAGCATCTAATTCCATACCTGTCATACGTAATAAATACCTGTCATGGGAAGGAGTTTCCTATGCTGACTAAATCACAGATCCTTCAGGTATCTGGTTATTTGTTTACAATAGCCAAACCCTGGGAATGACCTCTAGCTCAAGGATTAAAGAATGGCTAAACCAGTTACTGTACAAATAATACTCAGTCCAGGATGAAGGCAGAGATGGCTTGGGATCCTCAGTGGTGGAGGGAAGGAGGGTGCACCTTAATGAAGTCCCAGATCCACTAACGTATCAAAAGCTATGAATTCCATGGAACATCAAGATGCCATAAAAAATGTCCAAAAAATAACAATAAAGCTCACATTTCTATAACACTTTAAGATGTTCAAATGTTTAGATTTCCAGCATTTAGCACAGTTCCAGGTACACATGAAGATCTTAATAAATGCTGTTTGTTTGATTTGATTGACTTATCAGGCCTCTTTGTAATATATTAACTCATTTAATCGTCATGACAACCCTGTGACATAGGGGTTCTTATTATCCCCATTTTGCATGTGACTTGCCTAGGGTCACACAGCTACAGGGTGTCAGAGACTGGATTAAAACCCATCTTACCAGTCTGGGGCTCTATTCACTATACCTCTTGGCTGCCTCTAGGAAGAAACTATAAAGGAAACATGGAAACACAGTGATACCAAGTGAGGCTAATAGACTCAGAAGGATCCCAACCCCATTGGTGGCATAGTGGAAACATCGAGAAAAGAAGAAAAAGCCAAAGGTAATCCAGCTTTATTGGAGCCTAGACCAAAGCAAAGGGAGACACGGAACAAATATGTTTGCTTCTCCTTGGCTCATTGGCTCAGTCTTATTTTATGAAAATGGACAGCTCTGGTGATTAGCTGAGTGCACTTTTTCCAAAGTCTAGCCTAGCTAAGTTTGGGGCTGCCCATCTCTAGGTCAGCCTATGGACAATGGTGGATTTTTGCTCATTTGTTTTGTTTGGCTATCGCAACTCTCAAAATCAAAGTCATGGCCAATGTCAGTGGGAGAATGCTCACGCTGACAAAACCAGAGGTCTTTGAAGTATTGAAATTTTGCCTGGCATAATATTGCTCTGTTTCATTATGCTTTCTCTGGTGCAAATGGTGTAGATGATTCAGACTGAGGGAATTGAAGTTTGAGATAAGAAGCAATGGAGTGGCCCTAGAGTCCAAAGACCCAGGTTCAAATCCCACGTTGGCTACTTGCTACCTGCTGTGACCTTGGGCAAATTACTGAACTTTCACTCTCTTCTCCTATGCAAAATAAGGGAGTTGGCAAGAGGATCTCTACCAGTTATAAGTGAACATTTGGATGAAGTGTCCGTCAGTTAGCATATGCTGTAAATGTGGTGTTTATGCACCAAAAAATATTGGAACTCAGATCCATGTGATCCCAGAGCTTAGAAGAATAAATGCCTAATATACACTGATTGATTGATTGATTGTTATCAAAGGGAAGACCCCCAAAATGAAAACTGGACACAGAAGAAACAGAAATCCCTTAAATCTCAAGGTCCATCAGTTTTCAGTCACATGGTCCCTGTGGCCACACAGGCCTTAGAAACAATGGCGAGTGATCAGGGCTATCTCAGCCTCTGGAATCACCAGGAATGCCAAGGCTACTAGAACCCATAGAAAATACGCGTTGGGCCAAAATCACCACAGTAAAAAGTTTTCACCAGAAAGCAGATCTCCATAGGGCCCCTGGGTATTACAACCAGGCCGCAGCTCATCAATCTTCATCACTGTTATTTTATTCTATTGGTGCATTTCAGGTCAATACAAGTTAGTCATTTTGCGTCTCATTCATTGCCTGGCTTTATGTAAGAGTTGCTAAAAATAAGATTACACAGGGGGAGGAAAACATCAGTTTGGTGTCTAAATTTAGAAAACTTGATGAATAAATCTATTAAATTCATTGTGGAGAGAGAGGAGAGCAAACTGTTGTTTAATGGGAAGAAAAAATAAATAGCAAATAAGAGGTGATTGTCTTTAGAGTTTCTTCCAGAGATTGAAATGGAGAGCTCCTCCGACCCTCTTTATTTACCAATCAGTCTATGGGCTGATTGTGTATTTTAATTTCAATAACCCTCAACCTGAATTTTAAAGAAGATATGCTCCTAGGCAAGAAACTCTGGAGAAAATAGTTATTAAGGCTCTTGGATTCTGCATTTATTTGCCAGAAATAATTTTTTAAAATTTGTTTAAAGAGATATAGTCAAAGCAATGTCGATTCATCTTCCTGAGCTCCTGGGAAGCAGGTGTTTGCAAGTATTCTGCATGGGCAGACATCTGGCAGGCCTCTTCATCCCCACACCCCGCCCTTGGAGCCAACATCTGGCAGGCCCCTTCATCCCTACATTCTTCCTCCCTTCCTCCAACCCCCTCCCAGCATCTGCCAGGAGCATTTCCCCTTAGAAGAGACGTGCAGTGTTCCGAAGGGCGGTGACCTTGGGTCCCACACTGGGTGGGGGGTTTTCAGAGCTGAGATGAGCACACACAAGGCAGTGGTGAGAATCCTTTTGTGTCTGGCTGGTTCTCACCCGAAGAGCTTGTTTAAAATTGAAATCAGTCGTTAATATTAACCACTTTAAAATTTTTTTCCAAATCCCCTCGGGAAGAAAGAAATGGGAAGACATAATGGGAAGCAATTGTACATGGAGGTCATGAGCCTCAGGAGCAAGGGAAATAACAGTTGGAGGAAAAAAGAGAGAAATAGGGACTGGACTTTGGATTTCACTGATATCAAGAATTCCCGGATGAGGACGCTCCTTCTACTAAGGCAGATCAGAACCTCCTTTACAATGTCGAGTCTCAAAGAGACATCCACGGCACAAAGATAGTAAGAGGCTTACCCAGGGTCATCCGGCCAGTATGTGTCAGAGATGAGACTTGCCACTCAATCTTCCTGCTTCTCAAACCAGCTGTCTAATCATTATTCCAAGCTATCTCTCCTAGAGAAAAAAAAATTACATTATACATACAATATAGGCCTTGTGACAACCTTAAAAATGCTCTCTAAGTCCAGGATAACTGAAAGTTTATCTTTTATATTAAAAAAAATAATAAAGTTTATCTTCTAAAGATATGATGCTGCAGCTCCCTCTCTTCTTTATGAAAGTGGGGGACTATGGGTATGGAGGCCTGCATACAATATTGGACTAGGTTGAAGTGCTGGTTAGTTTTACTAAATCTTTGTTTTCTCCTTTTTTTCTCCTTTATTAAGAAGAGGCTTTCTGGGGGTAAGAGGGAGGGGAAGGAACTCTTTGTAAATGAAGGTAATGTCAAAACAAAAGATATTTTAAAAATTTTTAAGAAATAAGAAAATGTGTTTCTAAGTAACACCCCCCTCCCCAAAGAGTTTGAAAGCTGGTTAGGGAAGTGAGTTCTGAGGGAACGGGGCTAACACAGACAGGAAGGATCTTTCCAATTCCTATGTCCTTGGTTCCCCGGTCTTGTGGTAATAGCATTCAACTGGAAATTCCAAAGTCGACAACCAATGATTGGACGTGACCCTCGCAGAAAGAAGTTGTCTGAGGATCACAAAGTTAGAGATGAAAGGACCCTCACAGGCCAGTTAGTCAATCCTCTCATTTTATAGATGAGGAATTTGAGCAAGGTTAAGCGATTTCTCCGTGAGCATGCAGTAAGCAAGAGAGACAGAATTTGAAACCAGGTCCTCCTGGTGAAGTGAGAGGCAGTATGATACATGGACTTAAGGGTCAGAGGATTTGACACCTTGCTACCTCTAGAGCCTGGTACAAGTCACTTTTCCTCCAAAAGGTTGGACTGGGGTCCCTTTTGGCTATAAAGCTATGACTCTGACGCTGCTCAGTTATCTTATCTGGAAAATGGAGATAACAATACCTTGTGATACCTACCTCATGAGGCTGTTGTAAGCCCAAAAGAATTTATAGAGGCATCCTCTACTATTAGTCAGCTTTGCCATATCTAAAATAGGAGTAATAATAACACCCTTCTCTTCCTTTGCAGGATTACTACGAGAATGATAAAGGTGAGAGACCAGATGGGAATAAGAAGACAATACCAGATGCAGTAAATGCATCATGAGGCTTTTTCCGCAGCCCTACATGGCATACTAATATAATGATGATGATGATGATTACAATGAGGATGACAATAATCACCGACATTTCTATAAACTTCAGAGTTATTATCACCAACATCGATTTGATGTTTTATGGCTCAAAAAGCACATTCTATAGCTAATCTCATTTATTCTCGCATCATCCCCATGAGGGCATTGCTGTTATTATCCCCAATTTATAGGTGAGGAAATGGGAGGACTTAGGTGACAGGCAGTGGGAACATTATTAGCTTTGTGGAGCCAGAGGACTGCAAATCCGGCTTTGGTTATTTGTGACCTCGGCCCCTCATCTGCCAAATGAGGGAGACAGATTCAATGGTTTCCAAGGTCCCCTTCTGAGCTCATACCATGATTCTGTGACCTGCTTGGGGCCACATAGCTAGTAAGCACCCAAGGCTAGATTCAAACCCAGGTCTTCTTGACTCCACGCCCAAGTGTTCTAGACATGATATGGAAACAGGGCTTCCAAGTTCACAAACTAGTTTACACACATTAGCTCATTAGGAGTCTGATAGATGTTTGTGGATAAAGCCAGACATGATCTATATATAGCCAAGGCTATATCCCAGAAATCCAGACTTTGGCATTGGCCTGTAGGAGCATAGATTTGGTGCTGTGAGGCATCCTAGAGACCATCTAGTTCAGTAACCTTATTTTACAGATGAGGAAACTGAGGCCCAGAGAGGTTAGCTAACTTTATCAAGGTCATACAGGCCATAAGTAGCAGAGACAGGATTTGAATTCAGGTCCTTGGATTCCAAATCCAGTGTTCTTTCTACTACCCTAATGCCTCCCCTCTGACTGCGCTGTGCAAAAAAGAAAGGATACTTTGTGGGAGTGCAAGAGATGAGGAGGATGGTTTTCTAACATCCAGATGGGACATTTATAAGGCTAATTCATTATTGGTTGCTTCACTGCTTTCCTGACTCTCGCCTGGGATCTCTTCAGTTCTTTTCCCTCATCTCTGTCCAAGCCATGTATCTTCTTTATGTGCTCTCACCTCTGCTCAAAAACCTTCTGTGGCTCCCAGTGCCTGCAGAGAAAGTATAACCTCCTCATCCTGGCATTCAAAGTCATTCATAAATGGGCTCACACTTCTGTGTCCAGTTTTATCTCATGTTATCCCTCTATTACTATCCCTCGATAAAGCTTTGACCGTTGACTCTTCTGGGCCTCAGTTCAGTAAGTGAGGGGGCTGGACAAGATGACCTCTAGGGTCCCTTCCAGCTCTAAATAATTCAAAGGTTGCAAATAAATGCCTACTGGAAACTGGTAGGGAACAGAAATTACTCAGACTGAAGAGGCGGTATAATTCAATGGGATGAGATCGTGTATGTAAAGCGCTCCATAAATGTCAGTTATTATGTTGAGCCTGGAAAAGCCTTCAGGGGGACATGAGAGCTGTCTACAAATATCTGAAGGGCTGTCAAATGGAGGAGGGATTAGCTTTGTTCTGCTTGGCCCCAGAGGCAGAACTAGGAGCAGTGGAGGAAGGTGCTGAGAGGCCAATTCAGGCTGGAAATCAGGAAACACTTCCTGGCCATTAAAACTGTGCTACCTCAGAGGCCATGGTTTCCTCCTCAATGGGGGAAGTGGACTGTGTGGAGGGAAGGGTCTGGACAGGATTCTTGTTGAATTATAGATCGGAATTGAAGACTTCTGAGAATCTGTGATTCTAGACTCATGACTAAGAACTCCCACCTAGTTTGCATTTTAACAAGGGCTTTCTCTAAAAACACATTAACCCCTCCACCTGTTGAAAAAGAAAGGAAGGAAGGAAGGAAGGAAGGAAGGAAGGAAGGAAGGAAGGAAGGAAGGAAGGAAGGAAGGAAGGAAGGAAGGAAGGAAGGAAGGAAGGAAGAGAGAGAGAGAGAGAGAGAGAGAGAGAGAGAGAGAGAGAGAGAGAGAAAGAAGAAAGAAACAAAGAGGAAGGAAGGAAGGAAGGAAGGAAGGAAGGAAGGAAGGAAGGAAGGAAGGAAGGAAGGAAGGAAGGAAAGAGAGAGAGAGAGAGAGAGAGAGAGAGAGAGAGAGAGAAGAAAGAAACAAAGAAACAAAGAAACAAAGAGGAAGGAAGGAAGGAAGGAAGGAAGGAAGGAAGGAAGGAAGGAAGGAAGGAAGGAAGGAAGGAAGGAAGGAAGGAGGAGAAGAAGGAGGAGGAGGAGGAAGAGGAGGAGGAGGAAGAGGAGGAAGAGAGAAGATGAAGAGAACAATAATGAAACATCTGTACATGCACGGAAGAGAGAAGGAAGTTCGGAAAGAGACACAGACACAGGAAAATATGAAATTACCATGGAAAATGTAATACGTACTTTTTAAAAGTTGTACATAATTTAGATTCATGGTTTCATATGCAATTCTCCTTCTGTTCTTTGAAGACAGAAGTGATCACGTCTGCTAATGTCTGCAACGTCCAGTGGATCCAGCACAGGGATTGGAGTCAGAAAGATCTGAATGTACATCCTGCCTCAGATGCTTTCAAGTTGTGTGACCCTGGGCAAGTCAATTAACTTCTCTCAACCTCAGCTTCCTCCTCTATAAGATGGGAATAATAATGACACTTGCCTCAGTTTCCTCATCTGTAAAATGGGAATAATAGCACTTCCCTCCCAGGCTTGCTGTGAGGGCCACACGAGTGTGCATATGCAAAGGGCTTTCTAAATCTTGATGCACTGTGCACATGCTAGCTGCTATTATTATTAACTGTAATAATAATAATCCATTAACTCTGAGGAGGGTTCTTAGTGGAGGGACTGTCAGGCACGAGGCAGGACACTAGGTAGAGATACTTAGGGACATCCCATCCTTAAAAAAACATAACACATGGGCAGCCACGGATTCTATCAACACATGGCACCTGAACCCGTCCAGCCAACCTCAAAAGTGAGCTTTTTCTATATATTGAGGGAATTGGTGTAATGGGAAAATTTGGTAAAATGAAAAAGCAGGGGATCTATATTCAAATCTTGCCTTGCTATGTGAAGCTGGGCAAGTCGCTTAACTTATCATGGCATCAGTTTTTGCATCTGTAAAATGGGTACAAGAAGTCCCATAGTGCCAACTTTCCCATGCTGTTGTATGAAAAAGCTGCTTCATAAACTTCAAAGGGGACCTCGTGAAGGCTGGCTAATAGCAATTGCCTTTCTTCTCATAAGCTTGAAAGTTTATGAAGCACCTTCCTTATAACAGCTTTTCAAGGCTACGAGTATGAGTTATCCCCATTTAATCTGGTTCCATTTTAGTCAATTCAACAAGCATCCATTAAGCCTTTGCTCTATGTCAGGTATTGGGCTAGGTGCTGGACATAGGAGCTTCCCTCAAGGAGCTTACATCATATTGGGGCATACACCTTGTAAGTACAAAATATGTGCAATGCAATTTCAAGGAGGAGGGTGCCATTATATATGTTTTAGGGGATGGGTGTAAAATCAAGAAAGGAGGAGGAGAAGGAAGGAAAATAGGGGGGAAATAATGAGCTCCATAGTTTGAGATGTCTATGGGACATGCATGTGGAGATGTCAAGCAAGCAGTTAGTGACAGGATTAGAATTCAGGAGACAGATTAGCACCAGATACATCGATTTGGTGGCATAGAGATGACAACAGAAATCCTTGGGGGCTAAAGAGATCATGGAAGGAAGTCTTGCCCATGGAATGGAAACTGTTCCCTTTATATTGTTAAAAAAAAAATCCTGAGAAACGTGTTCTTGGGTTCATATATTTGCCCAAACCCAGATCAGAACAATCTTTCGCCTTCTTATAAGTGGAAGTATTCTAAAACAGACTAGACCTGAATGAAATGGGATAACATTTGCAGAGTACTCAGTATGGTGCCTGGCACCCAGTAGGC